AAGACTATACCTGTACACTTGCTCATACATTTTTTATTCTCACAGCACACTTCAGTGCTGGGTTCTTGCAAGATTTTGTTTCTGTGGGCTGGATTTCATTTCAGCAGATTGTGCAATCCCCTCTTCCTTCTATTGTAACTGGTTTTGAACTGTCTGAAATTCACCACTGGCTTTATGACAATCTGAAAATTAACAATGGCCCCTTACTTGCACAGGGCTATGTGATTCACAAATTCCTTACTTACCTGATACTTCTTTTCCCCTTACTTCCAGCCAGGCAATCTTGTGTGCTTTTAAAACCAGTGTAAAGGCAGTAAAATGTGTATACATTGAAACTTTTTCTTCCTGGCACTCTATCACTTGGAAAGCCATCTGAGGCTTTTCCATAGGCTGATGTATTGGCAGTAACTTAAAAAACCCGCAAAAATATAAAAACATGATTTTTGATTATGCTATAAATTGGGATTTTTTCCTTCAGGCAGGCGGAAGGACATGCCAGCTGGACCTTATATGTTGGCTGTTAAAAAGCTTTAGGAGCCAAAATTATAATTAGCTCACTCATACTGAAATATGTTCTCCCTAGCTGTTTTATTTTTTTATCCAGAGCCTGATGCAATTTCTGAAAGATGCAATTTCCTTCAGCACAGGAAATACGCATCATACAGTTGGCATCAGGCAAGCACCCGTGCAGTGGCTGTTGCAGTGCTTGCAGGAGCAGGTGATGCATCTGCTCCCTGGTGCATTTCCAGGCTGTCTGCCTGCAGGGCCTGGTGCAGGGAGCTTGCACCGGCTGGGACTGCTCAGTGCACCAACTGCAGGGATCCACACTCCAGGCACAGGGGCATGAATTGCTCAGACTTGCAGGAAATGCTTGTTAGAAGCATTCCGGGTGAAAAGCAGGGCTAGTCCAGCAACACATCATCAGTGCAAGGAAGTTGCTTGTATTTCAGAGAACCTAGTTTTATGTATTATAAAGTAGTGCTTAAGAGAGCTCATTGAGATCCAGGTGTCACCTATTCAAAATCACTATTGTGCACTGTATGTAAGTGGTGGGAGGGAAGGACTGATAGGCATAGCTGAAAGAAGCTTTATCAAGGAACTTTGACAGGAAACATGGACTACAGCACAGGATGCAGATCTGAAAGACATAATGGATACTTACTGGACAATTAAAGTCTGTTGAGCAGGGCAGTGAGAGTAAAGAGTAAAGCTAGTCTGGGAATGTTTTCATTCACGCCCCACCATCAATCTTCTGATTTTAGCATAGATGTGTCCACTGTGAGAACTGGTCCATAACTTCTGTAAATCACCAGAGCTGAGAAAGGGAATGGACAATGCTGAGGAAAATGGGATAGCAAATGAAATTTCATAACAAGTCAGACAAAACTCTGCAAGAAGAATCCAAATTCTCCTGTTTCACAGTTCAGTGACATCCAATGGTTCATTTCAATTTGATCTGAAATTGTTACTAATTTTTTCTCCCACTCTTTGGACTATTTATTTGTAAGATGCATATTCAATCATATTAGAAGTGGTAAAATGCTTTTCCCTGAAAATTCTCTCAGATTCTGTGTTCGGTTGATTCCTTTTACTTGCATTTCTTCTTTCTCTCTCTGTTGCGGGTGCTTTCCCATGAATGGGGAAGTTTCTTAAAATGAACCCATTTTTTAATTCCACATTAGATATTTATGATGGTTACACATTTGCATATATTGAATATTTCACTTTGTTTTGTGTAAGAGGCTCTTATCCAACTCTTCATTTTACTACTTTCTTCCCAAAGGAATATAAAACTTTCTTTAGGAACATTATTTAGTTTGGATAAAAGACTCATAAACTTCTAGCACTGGGAAAAAATGAAGAGGGAGTGTTCTTAGTAGAAGATACGAGAGCCTTTCAGTCGGTGCGAGAGCCGTGCACCGTTGGCAGCTGTGGTTTAGCCGGCTCAGCTCTTCCCCAGCTGAGGTTTAGGCGGCTCTTCCCCAGCTGAGGTTTAGGCGGCTCAGCTCTTCCCCAGCTCAGTTTAGGCGGCTGTTCTCAAGCTGAGCTTTAGCTGGCCGTTCCCCAGTTTAGTTTAGCCGGCCGTTCCCCAGCTGAGCTTTAGCCGGCCATTCCCCAGCTCAGTTTAGCCGGCCATTCCCCAGCTCAGTTTAGCCGGCCATTCCCCAGCTCAGTTTAGCCGGCCATTCCCCAGCTGAGCTTTAGCCGGCCGTTCCCCAGCGGAGCTTTAACCGGCCGTTCCCAGCTGTGGCTGAGCGGCTCTGGCGCTGGCGGGGCCGGGCAGGGGCGGCCGCCCTGGCATTCGCAGCCCGGCGGGGTCTCCAGGGCACAGAGAGCCCTCCCCGCGCATCAGCCGGGCGCCCGCAGGACTCAAGAGCGTTTTAAAGACTACTAAATAAGTTTCTAATTATTTCAACATAAAACTCTATAGTGTATTCATGAATTGATTAACTGATTTTATGGACAGCCTCCCTTCAGATCGAGTTCTCTAACTGGTTTTGAAACTGATTCTTTGCAGACACAAGAAACACATGGAGAATCATATTCTTGCAACCACAGATCAATTCAGGTATTTTGGCAGGCAAAAAGAAGAAATTCAAAGCTGGAGTAGAAGAAAGAGCTAAAAATTAACGGACCACTGAAGTTTGAAGGCAAGCAGTTAATGTTACTCTATGAGTTTGATAGTAATCCAGCAAGTTTTTTCCCACATACTGGATTTGATGCATGTGTCTTTCCTTAAGATGCCTTTTTAATTTCATCTGTTGAAAGACTAGGGAAAGAAATAATGCTTATAAGTTTGAGTTGAAGACTTTCTTACTAATATTAGAAATATTTTAAGGGATGGTTGAATGCTGACTTGACTTCTTAATGAACAACCATCCAATATCTTAGTTTTGCTTAGATTCCTGAATTCATGCAAATATCAGTTACCATCTCTAACTCTGCTTTTTTCACTTGAGAAGAATGAATGCTTTTGAGTGTGGTACCACCAGATAACTGAACAGAATGAAATGTTTAGAATTAGAACTCCAGAAAGTAAGCATGAAGTTTTATTACTTGAAAATTACTGTAGTTTCCATGGTGAAAAATGTAGAAGAATTGTAATACAGTTTGTAACATCTATAAAAAGCATTATTTTGATGGACCATTTTCTCTGTTTTGAAATCAATGAAATACAAATGATTGGAACGTGATAACAAATATGAATAGGGTAAAAACTTGAGACCTTTACTACTTGAAAAAAGGGAGTACTCAGACTTTTATGCTTTATGTTCTGGAAACTATTAGTAGCTGAAATGAAAAATCTTCATTTTCCTATAAGTTATACAGTGGCATACTTGTAAAGATAGTATCTTTCCCTTCTCTTTAAAGCTGGATCTGTATTATAAAAGCAGTTGCTTTCCACACTTTTAATTGACTTATATCTTCATAACTTTTTTTTTTTAAAAACTAGTTTTGCATTAAAATACATGGTGCCACTGTAATTCTCTCTGTTGTACATATTTTCACAGGACTGCATGTTGCCAAAGTAATTCTGATTATACTTTCAAAAATCTGTGGTGAGCAAAATGCGTTTTTCACAAATACCTGCTTTGTGCTTTGGGAGGAAATACATATATTTGAGGAAAGGAAGAGCAGTTTGTATGTGCTTTAGACCTGATTCAAGCACCTCCATTTAGTATAATAGTACTGATAAGCACTGTTTTGCCATGTCCCTAATGATTTGCTACAGAGCAGCAAATGTAAACAAAGGTCAGTAATCCCCTCAATGTAAGTTCAATGCTAGGCCTTGTTAGATTAATACCTTTTGTTTTTATGTAGCTAAGACAAGATATACAAAGGAAATACATGTTTCTCTAGGGCTGTTAGGTCTGAATCGAGTTTGCTTTGAAATTGGTATTTTGGAAATAAATTGGTAATAATGTGGTGATAATACCAATAAATTGGTATTGGAAATATTTTTGCTTTTTGAAATTGGTCTGCTTTTCTGTCTTTGCCTAGAATACCTATAGTCCCAAGTCCCAATCCCTATATCCTCCAACAGCTGAGAATATCTCTACTGCAGAAGTTAATGAATGTTTGATGCATGGACTTACTTTTTGACAATACACTTATCTTAGTGACCTATTGTGGTCACTAAGTAAAAAGCACTGTCCTACTCTGATATTTCAAGAAGATAATCTGCAAACTCTGGCTGGTGGTGATCATGCCATAGGAGCCAGCATGAAGTCTGTTATGCTTCATGTATAGTTGGTTAACCATTGGCAGATTGGCAGTTACCAAATATAGCATTACATGAGCATATACAGAGAAAAAGAAGCTAAAACCTTTTGTGGGAAAAAGCAATGTAAGAGTGGAAACTGTGACACAAGAAGGGTAAAGCTACACACCCATACAGAAGTTCTCTGTATCATTTGGTGGCTTTAGTACAGAGAAGTGGCAGTGTGGAATAACAAACTGTTGTACCTCTGAACTTACCATTGAATAAAGAATCCTTAAAACCAAAAAATGAGACCATGAATAAATAAATAAGCAATGAGCTGTCAGCTGAAAAGAAACAATGGAAAACTAGGAAGGGAGAGAAGAATGAAGAGGAGTTGATGAAAAAAAAAGGTGCCAAAAAAACCAGAGTCTGTCAGATTGGTATGAGCAATAGTCCCTAGTTCTCATCAGCTACATATACAGTGCCTGTTGTCACAGTCCTTTGGTCCTACATTAATTTATTAAGTATTTTGATAAACACAAGATGTGCCAATGGAGTCAGAGAAGGGAGGAAGCAATGTAACAAGGGTACAAAATGCAACCAAGGGTTCTAAAAGTTTACTGAAATGCATATTTGGTATAATGCAATGATCAGATAACTATCATTATTCCATGCAATGATCATTATTCAAAGCAATGATCAGATAACTGTCATTATTCCATAATTTTCTAAGTTCAGCCACTATTTATATATGATACTAATATTACAGAGATAGTCAATGTATTCATTCTTTTTATGCAGCTCAAGTGACATTGAGGAGAAACCATGCAATTATCCAACTGTACTGACACCATTAGGGAGCTTGAACTGGATCCCAGGTAAGTCAGATAAATATTTTGGCTTTGTGTATTTGGGTACAGAGCCTGTGGTCAGCAGTTGGTATTTGGCATGCAACAGCCTACTTTATCCATTTTTATGCACCAACTAATTTCCTTGATGTAGGGATTTGGGGATGGTGAAATAATTTCATCAATTATAAGCAAAAAAAAATTAAATATCTGTTTCATCTACTTCATTCTGGATAGCCACTGCATAAAACCTGTCAAAACCATATTGCTTCGGGTTCATCCCTGCTGCAGTTCCATTGATTACAGTGGAGTTAAATCAAAGATGAATCTGTCTGTTCAATTTAAATCTAATGATTGGTTAAAAAGTCGGGGGGAGAGCCCTGCCTAAATCCAGGGCTGTTTTATCCTTGTGTCAGCATTTAATTCCATTTGCATATAAGCCTATTTCCCTTCTCTAAATTTAATTTGTTAGAGCTTGGCCCTCAGCAACAACAGCAACAACAAAGTAATTGCATGCAGTATTGGGCAATGGTGCCAATACAGCGTGTGCTATAAAAATGTCTCATGCAAATTTATAAAATGTAGGCATTTGACACTCTGCCTGGTAACAGGTATGTGGATACTTGAAAAAAACTCTAAGCTTGAGCTTCATGGACGTGTGACATCTAATAATAATACACATATGAAGAAGCCTTTTTTTAATATCAGCTATTAATTGTGTCTGTTTCACTAAAGGAAATAAGATATCCATGTCTTGTATGACCAATGGGAACATTCTAGAGTTTCACTGTGATGAGATAAAACTGGCTGAGGCTTAGTTCTCAGGCTGCACTAGATAACATCTGTGACTTTGCACAAGGTACATTTGCAGTGTGACTTAGCAAGCTTGTTTTAAACTGGGCAGGAGTGGTTGGCATTGTCACAATATACCTTGTTTGTTTAGCTGCTACACTCCACTGCAGGGCTGTGTTCTCATATCACCCAGTCTCAAAACACAGAGCCCATCTTCAGAGACCTTTCACCTGGCCATTTTTAAATAAAAATACTCCTGTTGAACTTAACCTGATCAGCAGTCATTCCAATTCAGCTGTTCTTCCAAAGGTAGTGGTACCTGCCTTAGGTTGATAGAATCCTTTATTCTCCTTTTCCCTATCCTAAATATTTGATTGCACCTAAAGGGGAAATCCTCAAATCAAAACATTTTGTAGGATTTGAGTTTTTCTTTTTGCTTTAAACCCCAGCTTTTTCATCATACATTCTGATGCAGCAAAACTAATCATGGTCATAGATTCTTATATATGGCCAATTTTGCCCAACTTCATGATCACTTCAGAAGAGGTCAGTTCAGTTTCACCATTTATGGAAAGAAGACACTGATGCTAAGGGGTTAAATATATTGACCTGGGACACTGTGCAATTTTATGCAAATAACAAAGCCTGGAAGAGAAGCCAGGTTTTCTGAATCCAGGCTGCATGATGTGGGACTAACTTACAGAGAGCAGAGAATAAACACACATCCTCCTACTTTCTGATTTCTGTGTTTAGATAAATCAGGTGATTTCCTAACATATCAGATCTTTTTAATACAGTCTGTTCCTCATGTGGCCAGGAAAGCTCACTATTACCTCTGTTACTTGCTCCCATTACCTCTCATTGCACTTGCAGCCTATCCTCAGTCGGATTAGAAGGCAGTCAGGACCTTTCAGGAGGCACTTACCACTTTACAGGATTAGGATAAGCCTACCTTTGATGTTTTTGTGATCATACCCATCTGCCATAGCTGAACATGGTGAAGTAGGCTTTATTTTTATTTAATGTTCTAATTATGTTTAAAAGGTCAAATATATTTTTTTTCTCAGTTTGCCTGCTTTTCTTTAAAAAATCAATGAGGATGTGTTGTCTTTCAATACATATGCTAACATTTGAAAAGTAAAAAACCCCATGGTTAGAATCAGCAAATAGAGATGTGGTTTCACCTGATTTTAAGGTTTAACAATTGTACTCTATGTCACACTCCTTCCTCTTCTTCCATCCATATATTCATTACAAATGTCAGATAAGGCTAATCCTTCATGTGACATTACTACAGATGGTTACACTGGGGACTTAAACCAGATGCTGATAGTCTGGATAATCTGGATAAAAGCTGGTAACCTAAAACAAATCCATTTTCTGTATTACTCATGCTAACAGTTAAGATAGATATAAAATCTTTATTACCCTTTAACACTTTACATAACTCTTTTGCTTTCCTCTTTTTATAATTTCAAAGGTGTTATTTTAGAGAAGATTCTTCTTCATGTCTCACTGTCCTACCTCATCTAAATCATGCATGTTTGTATGTAATAAGATTTAGGGAGGGGAGAAACTTTCTAGATAAGAATGAACACTACATTTATCTTTTGTTTTAAAATTCCCATTGGGTTCAAAATTTGCACTGGAAAGTAACTTTACTTTCATAAAAAGAAGTTTAATGGAAGCATTAATAGTAAAAAAGTAACTCCCTTCTGTACTTTTGAAGAGTCTCTGAAATTCCATGTTTTGGATGGGAGCTGATAGGGATGTCTTCTGCTGAGTGGCCCAGACCTCTGACTACACTTGAGTGTACCCATTTTTCTGTCTATGTAAGAATAATAAAATCCTATCTTAGATGAGATTTACTCTGAATATCATGTATGTTTATTCTTTCATTTAGTAATGAAGTTTGTATTCTGAACTGAGAGATTCACAAAGACTTAGTCTAGGAAGAACTCTTGGGTGTGTGTTAAGCAGCTAATTATTTACATGGGAAATTCTATGACATAAACATACTGGATCCTTCCTTGCCCACCTATGACTATCACTGAATGCTGCCCATGCCTGGAGGAATTGGAGAGGAAGATACTGGGTTATTGTTTGTGACTTAGTGTAATGCTATTTTGGGCTCTTTCAGCTGTACTACTTTTTATTTATTACTAGGTTTTGTTTCTAAACTGGTCACTAGTCTGGAAGTATAGGAAAGTTTGTGTACCAAGTACCTGAGCTAGGCAATTATTGTGTAGCTTCTCATCTGTTGCTTAGCACACTTGAGATTTAGATTAGGGTAAGCAACTTGACCAGGTCTCCATACAGTAAATGATCTTGGGTCTAATCTGATCTCCCTTTAATCCAGTGAGCTATGAGGGCAGTGGTCTGGAGCATGGTTCATGGAGCATGGTTTCTGTGATTTGCTTCTAAGCCTGTTTTGCCCCTAGTGTGTACTACAGGAACAGGTAAAGAAGTCAAGGTCCCTGGTCAGCCAAAGCATATGCAGTACTGAAGTTTGAATTTTGGGATTAATACAGCCTTCTGTTGCCAAAGCTCTCAGCTGGACAATTCTCATAGTCTTTAGCAGCATAGCCAGTAGCTAGTAATGACTATCTCCCTCAGAGTCCTTACTGTTTCACTGATTCTAAAAGTGTATAGATCACACCATTGATTCAAATCAACACAGTTCTATTGAAATCAACAGAATTCATAACCCTTATACCAGTGGAGAACCTTGATCCTTCCCTTCATGTATGGAATGATACAGCAGTGAAGAACACTGGTCACTGTGAGTCAAGTAATTATCAACAAGTTACTGAAATTGTTTAGAACAGTAGTCAGTCATTAGGCCTTAGAGCATGCTGCAAGGATATAAGGCGCAAACCTTCTGCATCAATGGAGGTGAGTAAAGACTTACTGTCCAGATATTTTCTGTTGATAATATACTGTTATCAAATACCATCATAACTGTTGTTCATTTTGGGATCATAATCCTTTATAGTGGAAGAAAAAATAAATACTTTGGTCTGAAAGGTTAGCCAGAGGAAGACAATTATTGCAGAAGATGTAGAAAGGTGAAAAAGGTGAGTAATTACATGAACTATTGCAAGCAAGGAACCAAATTCTTACAATTATGTGTTTTGTGGCAAATGCAGTCTTGGTGGGCTGATACACATTACCCTCAATATCATAATTAATACTGGTAATGTTATTTTTAGTGTTTGTGGTAATCAAAGAGTGGAAGCAATAACTGGATCTATTTGATAGCAACATTTGACTAACTTTTGACAATTACTTTTTAAGTGTAAATTTCTAAATTGTGACTTTAAACAGCAGCATTTCCTTGATGATTTATTTTAGAGGCTCACTGAAAGTATGAAAATAGAGTGAAGTTCTATTATTGACCATGTAGATGTGGTTGAAAGACCTGTGCACGGGGCAGATATTTTGCTGCCATCTGTTCCACTTTAGAGGAAATGCCCAGTTCGGCAGAGCTATTTCTTTGCATGTTGTCAGCCTGGAAATTCCATTTCAGCACTATAAAGTCTGATTTGACAAGAATGAAATATCACTTTCAGGAATGCTGTTTAGTGGAGTATGTATGTATGGAAATTACGTTCTGGTGGAGAGAGGGTCTTGGGTTGTGTGTATTTTATGATCCACATATCTCTAATTCATCTTTTCCTTTTGAAACATAACACATGTTTGAGCTTCACTGATATGGGTTCCTGCTTATTATAGTTAATGGATTATTCATCCTCTTTGTCCTTGACATAATCCTAAGTATGTGCATAAAACTCAGATCATGTTGCTCATAAAAACCAATCAGCCCAGAGTTCTTCTGCAAGGTGTTGAACATTCACCCAGAGCAGATGGTAAAGATAATGTTTAATAAAGAGTTAGAGGATTAGTTGGAACAAAAATAAGCTAAGAGAAAGGGATAATTTCATTTCATATGAAACTCCATGACATTTCATGTACCCAAGGACTGATTAAAATTATGCCAAAAGCTGCTCTTTTTGGCCAGTTTGTCCTAATACTGACCCTGCTTATGTTGTCAGCTGCTGTATCTGCATGTGTTATTTTACCACTCTCTGAATAACTCAAAAGAAAGCTCTTCTGATTCTCCTGTGGCAGACAAAATAATTCTTAATTAAATAGGAAGAGGAGAGATGATAGGATTCTGGTAAATGTGATGAATATATTTAAAAAACTGATACCTCAACTGAGGTTTAGAAGAAAAG